TGAACCTAGGAGAGGAGGTAATTCTGACTTTGCTATGACAATCTGGCACTTCTGAATCAGCTACTGTTTTGTTATTAGTTTAAGTATTTGCTATTGACTGTTCAAATGCGGAGTTTTGCGCATCGTGTGTGTGTGTGTGTGTGTGAGAGAGAGAGAGAGAGGGACAGCGTCACATCACAGTAGAGTCAGCTGTCTTAACCGCGGCTTGTGTACTGCATCATTACTGTGTCTGTTCCCCTTTCGGGCTTGAACTGATGGTAAAACTAATGACATTATTTACGGTCTTTACATTTATTTTGAAAGATGAAGCTCGCGATTATGGTAAGGGGCGTTACATTTCCGACATGTTCAGAGCAGAGGAAGAATAAGAAACAAATATGCATCGTCATGATCTGGCCATTCAGAGGTTATTTGAAGTGAAGTGACGTGACATGTGGCCAAGTATGGTGACCCACACTCAGAATTTGTGCTCTGCATTTAACCCATCCAAGTGCACACACACAGCAGTGAACACACACCCGGAGCAGTGGGCAGCCATATTGCTGCGGCACCCGGGGAGCAGTTGGAGGTTCGGTTCTTGCTCAAGGGTCTCACCTCAGTCGTGGTATTGAGGGTGGAAGAGAGTGCTGGTTATTCACTCCCTTCACCGACAATTGACCATCACAATTGTGACATTTGCACAGACAAGCACACTAAAACGGTTTAGAAAATGTAGATTTTAGAACACATTAAAATGACGCAGACACAGAAAGTGTGCGGTAGCGGAGAATAAAAAAGACCATGCAAGTTTTTAATCCCTTCAACTCCAAACTTTGTGCTGAGTCAGGTGCCATGGTCACATGTTTGTAGCTCACATTAATTTCTCCACAGCCACTAGCATTGCGATCTTTGACCTGCTCACTGACGACAGGATGATGGCATTGAAGGAAAACATGTAGAAGGACAAAAAAAAGTGCTGAGGATTTCCTTATTGCCAGCCTTGTGTAAGCATGTGGTATCCTGCCTGTACCAAATGTCACTCCCAGCACTTTTCTTTCCTCGTGCCTGACTTTATTCTAAAATGGATCTCTTTCTAGTGAAAATCTAACACACTTAAAGATTCCTGAGACACTGACGACTTAAAAACTGAGGGACACACTAGCACACACACTCAGGAAATCCCATTGTTGACTGTTTCCCGTTCCTTCTGGTCGCCGAACTCCTTCCTCTTTGCTCTCTATGTCCATGTAATTAATTAAAACAGTGTATAGCATAAATCTATTAAAATGTAAAAATGAATACCATTTCAAGCTGTTCGCAGCATACACACGTTTGGTTATGAGATCAGATGTGTGCACATGCATAACTGCGTGTCTGTTTTATACTGCAGTATAACTCATGTGGTAGTCATGTGATTAGCGAGTAAGAACCAGCTTGTCTGCTTTTGACCGAGCCCAGCCCTCTCACCACATATCAACACAACCTCATATATGTAGACGGTATGCTCTTTATTGAGTGTGCTCTCACTACCACTAATGTGTTGCGTTATAAGATATGATCCTGTAGCCAATCTTTTAAAGGAGATAATCTAGTTTTTTATGGAATATTTTCACTGAAGATTAACTTTAAAAGAAAAAATGTTAGATCATCTAAATGTAAAAATAGGCAGAAATGAGCATCAGAATTAAATAGCCAATATCAATCAATACTGATAACTGATAACCGATTAGGTACCAATATACTGTGCATCCCTAACATTTTTTCATGTCTGCTATCTTTCACGTCACAGTTCAAGATGGAGTTTAGGGCCTGTGTGCATTCTTGTGATGCAAATTCATATTCAAAAGTGTGAGGAAATTCATCCATCTATAGAAAGTATAAGCTTGGACATAAACACACTCCGGCTAACCTCCAATGGTGCTCTCCTGATACTCGTGGAACTGGCCTTTAACAAAACGCAACACCAGGCTGGACTTGCCCACGGCAGACTCTCCCAGCAAGACCAGTTTGAACTGGCATATTTTGTTCCCGACGGGGGCGGCACCATTGGTCCGCGCTGGTCCACCTCGCCCCGCCATGCCAACAGGCCGGACAACAGGAGAGGAGAGGGCTGACTGGATCTGAGAGGGGTCCTCGCTGGATATGACAGGGGTCCTGAACCAGGATCAATGGAGCTCAGGGGAGGATGGGTTTAAGAGAGAGAGAGAATCAGGGTGAGAAAGGGAGATAAAGATGGAGAGATGGCCCCTACTGGATGAACAATCCTAGAGAAAAAAGGAGAAAGGAAGTTGATCAACAAAACACATAAACGACAAGATATAAATGGCCATATAATAAAACACTGGAGTGTGACGCTCTCGAGTTGAGTGAACGGAAAAGGACTGACTCATTACAGGTCGTTAACAGCTATCACACCATTCCAGCACACTAACCATTAACCAGCCACCCCATAATGCTCCAATAAACCTCACCGTAACAAAACAGTCCCCTTTACAGATTCCACCCACGCTGTGCTGCAATTACAGTTAAAAGCATCAATACAAAAACACACAAAGTAAATATCAGAGTGTCATGTCACACATACACTAACCTAGTTCCTAGGTTACACTAACACTAATCAGTTGTCGAAAATAATCTGCACCATATCAAATGATAAGTTGCTGAAAACAGGTCAGAACCTGTTTGTTTTTGTTTTGTTTTTTTGATGTGTATATTTGTTATTCTGAGCATACCACAAACCCACATTCAGCTCAGCTTGGGGCAAAACAAATCATGGACAACAGACTGTGGCATCACACTTTCTTTAGGCTTTCAGATTGATAAATACAATAGCAGCATGGGAAGACATATTTACGACTCCTAAAACATTCGTTTTTTTGCAAACTGGGTTTCAGTGTTACTTTTGTTTATTAGAAAAGTTCCATGGATCCTCTGAAGCCAAATACAGACAGCAGAGCTAAAGTAGACCACTAAAGCAACTGAGAGAATAAAAATGAGTGAAAATGAGTGGGATTATTATAAAAGAGAGAGATACAGAAACAAGAAATAACAGTAACTCTGAGGTCATTATTTGAGCTTGTTAAAAACAGAGCCAGATTTTCTTTCTGCTGTAGGTACGGTAATGGGCAGCGGGAGTCAAGAGAAGATAGAAGTCAATAACCGGATGGGCAGACCTTCATCCACTGTAGGAGAATATTCAGGTAGGCCATCAGAGGTGGTAACATGAACAACATTTTTCCATTTTAGCAACATTAAAGGGGTCATATGATGCGATTTCAAGTTTTCCTTTCTCTTTGGAGTGTTACAAGCTCTTGGTGCATTAAGAAGGTCTGTAAAGTTGCAAAGACTAAAGTCTCAAATCCAAAGAGATATTCTTTATAAAAGTTAAGAGTCAACCACGCCTAAGTGATTATGGAGAGTGAGATGTCGCTGCCAGCATCAGGGCTTGAGGTTCAGCCTAATCCAAAGCATGTGGTTTAGAATCCCTCTCACACACACACTTCTGCGAAGTACACCTTCTCATGCCATTCAACATGCCTTGATGGAGAAAGTGGTACAACCCAAATAGGAACAAACAACAACAAAAAAGCTCACCAAAACTTGTTTTGGTGACACCAGAACTTCGTTACACAGCAAAACATTGATTAAATAGACAGTCTGAATATTGTTTATCGTGCTCAATATTTGAAAGTTTTTTTTTTAGTTTTTTTTTAAATTAGAGAAACACTCATCAGAACTGACATATAAACGCTATTTTTTTCTTCTTGTGAGTGACAGGTGTAGAAGGGGCAATCACACAGAATGTGGTTTTGCTCTTAAAAACACAAGACATATAATAGTACGTAATAGTAAATGCAGAGCCGCAGCAATGATGAATGGTCTCAAGTATGAGATGCACAATGGTCAGACGTCCATCTAGTGCATGTTTATGTATTGTAAACAAACAAAAACAGCACAGCATACCGTAAACAGCTCTGACAGAGCTTCATGATCGGCCAAAAAAGCGTGTTCAGACCTTGTACATGCTCATACTGGCAATCCTATTCTTTGTTGGTAATGTTACAACTTCTCATAGCTGAAAATTGCCAGAGCAGCTGATTTACTTTCGAAAATTGACCTTTTGAAAAGGTCCTGTTATCTCTAAATTATTAAAAAAATGATTTGTTGACTAGGACAGAGACCATTTAACAAGATTATCACTTTATTATCCCACCTGTGGGATGCTTGGCACTATTTTTTGTTGTTGTCCTTTTTCTCCATCAAATCTTTTAGTAATCATCATAAATCATATATCATTTGAAAGCTTAGAAGCCCAAGATTCATCCTGTGAAAACCCTTTTGAAATCGGACATTGCGTTACCATGGAAATGGCACTTTAAAATCTTTTGGCGGTCTCCTCCCCCTTAGTGGGCAGTGTCAAGTGTCATATTACAAAATTCATTACAGTCTTTTAGAATCAAACCTTTTTATAATCTTGACAAAAAACATATAATTGGAAAGGTTTGAGTCTCAGGATTCCATATTTGGTGGTTATTTTGAGATAGAAGTAATATTGACAGAGAAATCTAGACATTTGTGACAGAAAAATGCATTAAAAAAATTCAATGGAGTTTGGATGGCACCCGGTGGCTGTTTGTGGTATAACGCCCTAAATAAAATCTCACAGGAACCTCCATTTTTTTCATATCAACTTCAAATTTGGAACATAACTTATTTAGACATAAGGCTTTAATTTTATACCAATTTTAGAGTAAAACCTGTTATGTCAAATATTTAATATATAAAATAAAATAAGATTAATATACTGCATTTTCTTTACAGTAAATTTAAACTACCATAACTTTTTGATACTTTAATTTTTTGAACACATTCCACTTTTGCGATAATCTGCTGATTTTCTTCTTTGAAAAGAGACCAACCTTATGTCTGTATTCCAAAGTATTCATAAATTACAACAATTTAAGTTTGGATAGTGCACCTGCGTGCCTATTTTAAAAAAATGGGGGGTGACAGTTACGGGGTTAATGACTTTAAGAAACCTCATGGCCAATTAAATGCCTTAAAAAAATAAATGAAATAACTATCACCAGCAAAAGCACCTGGAATATATCACTCATGCAATTGCCTAAATCAGACTAGAGAATAATTCTCACAATACGAAGGATCAAACTATAGAAATAATTGCACCAGAGAAGGAGTGGGTAAACAGAGAGCATGTTTATGTGACCAAATACCAGATAAAGACATGAAATTCCACAGAGCGCTGTAATTTCCCGGCATCGTATTTTAATCGGCTACTATCAGAACTAGAACCACCTGATTCACTTCCTGTCATCTTTTCAGTAAGGACGCCTAACCAAAAGATACACACAGGTTGTGGCACCTGTGCGTACATGTGTCGACCTGAAAAGCAGTCACCAGCATTCCAATGAATATGGCTCACTTCCTTTTCATGTGAAATTGCATCATACCTGCTGAGTTGGCCACTCAAGATGGCGGCGCGTTCACACACTGCGGCTTCTCTCTCTCCCGACAGAAAGGTGTTTTCGTGTTTTTTGTCTTGTGAGTCGCAGTGTTTTTGTACGTATTCCAATAAAGCAGACTTGACTTGACTTGACTTGAATTTACAGTACTGTGGTAAACCCAACAAGGACTGCAATGATACTGTCCCTCCCCCATCAAACAGTTCACTGACCCTCTCAGATCGCAACAGTGTGGAAATTAGGGATGCACCGATACGATACTGGTACTCGTACTCGTTAAAATGTCCCGATACCAAACGCCGATACCACACAGCATGTGATAAGCGCCATATTCAAACAAAGATTGATTGTATCTATTTGATAAATGAAGTTAACCAACTAACATTATACATACTATTTTGGTTTCTGTACCCAATATTTAAAAAATTTACAAATGCAATAAAAATATTGGTATCGGTACTCGGTATCGGCAATTTCCAAAAATAAAAGTATTGGTATCGGGCGAGTACAGGAAAAAGTGGTATCGGTGCATCCCTAGTGGAAATAGGAAATGCTTTCCAGGAAACTGACCAGCTGGAAGGAAATCGCATGCACCACCAACATAGGACCGCAAGCAGCCTGATCATTAAGCACATGTCTGATAGGGTGTGTTAGAGAGGACTGTCTATATCTACTGTAAGAAGTGCAGAGCAAACACACAGATAACAACACACCCACACCCTGCCCAACGACTGTTTGGAAGTGCAAACTGCTGCACTCAACAGCTTTATTCATTAATAATAAAACTTAACAGAGGCTATAATATGCATCTTACAATAAAAACGCTGAACACTCCATCAGACAATGGCTTTTTCCATCTCTCAGTCTGTTTGTGCAGGCATGTAATCTAGCTTCAGCATCAGTTCAAACATTTCATCTTCAGACATATTAGGTGGTTTGTGTTTCCTACATAAACACATTTACACATATCCAAACTAGGGATGCACCGATACCACTTTTTCCAGTACTCGCCCGATACTGATACTTTTATTTTTGGTACTTGCCGATACCGAGTACCGATACCAATATTTTTATTGCATTTGTAAATTTTTTAAATATTGGTTACAGAAACCAAAAGAGTATGTATAATGTTAGTTGGTTAACTTCATTTATCAAACAGATACAGCCAAACCTAAATTTAATCAGACACTAGTGGTGGGCGGTATGACCAAAAATTAATATCACGGTATTTTTCAAAATTATACCGGTTTCACGGTATATTACGGTATTTATTTTATTTCCATGCATAACTGGGTGTAAACCACATTTTCTACTGATTGAGAGAGGAAATAGGCTACTGCAGTAGATTGACTTAGAATGCCCTATTTTACTACGACATCTTCCAACTGAATCATAGCTAAGGTTTGTCCAAAAAAGTCGCTAGGTTTGTCAGTATATATATTCTATGAGAAAAAGCCGCTAAAAGCGTCTGAAAGTTGCTAAATCTAGCGCTGAAGTCGCGCTCGTGTGTGTGAGACGCGGGAGCTGATGGCAGCGGGCGGTGTTTTGTGTGCGGTCGCACTGGCGCGACCACCGCATTGTTTAACTCATAAGCGCTGCCATATCTGTTGCATATGTGAAACATCAAACAGCAAACGAAACTGAAAGCATAACGAAACCGCACTACTCGTTTGAACCGTGCAGCACTTATAGAGTGTAGAGCCTGGTTTATACTCACGGTGTCAGCACGAACGCGAAGGTGCGTGCAGCAAAGATTATGCGAATATTGAGGAAAGGATGGA